GGTTTTCTGCCCTGGGCGGGCCAGGTGTTCCTTGCCCTCCTTCTGGTAAACCCACAACCTTCCAGTGTGGGTTTTATGGCCATCATGAACATGTCACAGTGCTGCAGAGATTTTGTTTATGGCCAGTTTATGGCCAGATTTTGGGAGGCTTGTTTCCAACAATCCAGTTGTACCTAATCCTTATACTCCACTCTCCCAGATAATAGAGGAAGCAGAATGGTTTAAAGTTCTAGATCTTATGAACACTTTCTTCTGCATCCCTCTGCATCCTAACTTGCAATTTTTATTTGCCTTTAAAGATCTGTCAAAAATTTGCCTTTAAAGATCTGTCATCTCAGCATACCTCGACTGTCCTGCCATTCATTTTTGGGGCTCAGATACTAGGAGGACTAGGAACTGTCATTGGAGGCTTTACCACCTCCACCCAATTCTATTACTGTTGGGGAAAAGTGGAGTGTTGGGAAAAACACTGAGGCAGGACTTGCATGCCTGACATAATGTAAAAGAGTCTTGGAACATGTCCGGGGTCCAGGGTCTAAAACCCCTCATGGCCTTTGGAACACCAAGCTCTGTGCCAAAGAGTGGAAAGCTGCCCTGCTGCACCACACTCTAAGCCCAGGGCATAAAACCCCTTGTGGCTTGGATGGAATCCAGGGCTCAGGGCATAAAACCCCTCATGGCCTCTGGAATGTGTCTAGACATGCTGGCTCCTTGCTTCTAGCCCTCCCAGGCTCATAGATCGATTGTATCTTAAACTAGAAGAACATGTTCCCCATTATCTCAAGTAGCAGAACATGTTACATATGTTTCAAAGAAAATGCTAAACCATCACAGCTGTAGATGATGTGCTTGATACACCGCTTTCTTTCAACCCCCACATCCTCACCACCTGCTTCTTTGTTTGATCACCAATAAATAGTGTGGGCTTCAAGAGCTCGGGGCCTTCACAGCCTCCATACTAGCATTGGCCCCCTGGTCCCACTTTTTGCACTCTTGTCTTGTCTTATTCCTTTGACTCTGCCAGACTTCCTAGCCCCCATGGCCTGGTGTTGGGTCTGATCACCCCAATATATTACAAATTATCACAAGAGTTAAATGATGACATGGAACAAGTCGCAGATTTGCTGGTCACCTTACAAAGCTAGCCTAACTCTTTAGCAGCAGTAGCCCTCCAAAATTGGAAAGCCTTAAATTTATTAACAGCTGAAAGAGGTGGGACCTGTCTTATTCTAGAAAAAGAGTGTTGCTATTTCATTAATCAATCCAGAATTGTCACCAAAAAGGTTAAGGAGCTTTGAGACCGGATACAGTGCTGGCCACAAGAGCTCCAAGACAGGCCGGGCGCGGTGGCTCAAGCCTGTAATCCCAGCACTTTGGGAGGCCGAGGCGGGCGGATCACAAGGTCAGGAGATCGAGACCACAGTGAAACCCCGTCTCTACTAAAAATACAAAAAATTAGCCGGGCGCGGTGGCGGGCGCCTGTAGTCCTAGCTACTCAGGAGGCTGAGGCAGGAGAATGGCGTGAACCGAGGAGGCGGAGCTTGCAGTGAGCCGAGATTGCGCCACTGCACTCCAGCCTGGGCAACAGCGTGAGACTCCGTCTCAAAAAAAAAAAAAAAAAAAGAGCTCCAAGACACAGGACCTTGGAATATTGCCAACCAATGGATGCCCTGGCTTCTCCCCTTCTTGGGACCCTTGGTGGCTATTGTGATGTTGCTTATCTTTGCACCCTGCATTTTTAACCTCCTTGTAAAATTTGTCTCTTCCAGAATAGAATCCATGAAACTGCAAATGATTCTACAAATGGAGCCCCAAATGACCACCACTAGCACCTACTATCGAGAACCCCCAGACCGACCCACCAACCTGTTCTCGCACCATGACACCAAAGACTCCCCTCCCGAGGAAGCCTCAACTGCAGAGCCCCTTCTATGCCCCAGTCAGCAGGAAGTAGCTAGAATGATTGTCGCCCAACTTACCAATAGCACTTGGGCTTTCCTTTTGAGAGGCGAGACTGAGGGATTAAGTGGCTAAGTTGGCTGGACTTCCTGTGTCAATAAGGACTTCCCTAAGGGAACTTTCCCCTAAGCCAAAATAAGTCATAGCTGCAAGCTAAGGGATTGAACCTTCAACCAATCATACAGGGAGTTTAAGCTCTAGCTGTAGCCTGATGTTTTTAACCAATCATGCCTGCCAACCTACAAGCGGACAGAAAATAAGCTAATTCTATATGACATAAAGAGAAAAAGGGGAGGGGTCATAAGGCGATATAAGCATAAGACACCCAAGCCAAAAATGGCAATGCTTCTGGGTCCTCTTCCACCATGGAAGCTTTACTTTCACTTTCGCTTTCACTTTAATAAGTCTTGCCAATGCAAAAGAAAAAAAAAAGAGTAAATAGAATTGTGTATAGGATTTCATTAAAATTGGGGTTAACATTAATAGCAAACTTATGGAAGGGTAAAATTTGGCTTTCTCTCTTGAACAGGATTTTTATGTAATAGTAAAGGCTAATCAAAGCATTTTGCTTTTTCAAATTTTTGAGTCATCCTTTTGGCAAAACAAATGACTTATGGTACTCTGAAATTCTATTTCATAATATCAAGAGTTTTAAACCTGTAAGGACCAGTCACAGTGGCTCATGTCCGTAATCCCAGGACTTTGGGAGGCTGAGGCAGGTGGATCACTTGAGGTCAGGAGTTCAAGACCAGTTTGGCCAACATGGTGAAACCCCATCTCTACTAAAAATACAAACTTAGCTAAGTGTGTTGGAGCATGCCTGTAATCCCAGTTACTCAGGAGGCTGAGGCAGAAGAATCACTTGAACCCAGTGGAGGTTGCAGTGAGCCAAGACTGTGCCACTGCACTCCAGGCTGGGTGACAGAGCGAGACTCTGTCTCAGAAAAAAAAAAAAGAGATAATTAATTACATCAGCATGGTGGTGGGTGCCTGTAATCCCAGCTACTTGGGAGGCCGAGGCAGGAGAATTGCTTGAACCTGGGAGGTGGAGGTTGCAGTGAGCCAAGATCAGCTCCATCTTAAAATAAAAAATCAAAAAATAGGCCAGGCACGGTGGTTGATGCCTGTAATCCCAGCATTTTGGAAGGCCAAGGTGGGTGGATAACCTGAGGTCAGGAGTTCGAGACTAGCCTGGCCAACATGGCAAAACCCTGTCTCTACTAAAAATACAAAAACTAGCCAGGCATGGTTGCGTGTGCCTGTAATCCCAGCTATTAGGGGGGCTCAGGCAGGAGAATCGCTTGAGCTGGAGAGGCAGAGGTTGCAGTGAGCCAAGATTGTGCCATTGTACCCCAGCCTGGGCGATAGAGTGAGAGTCCATCTCAAAAAAATAAAATAAAAAATAACAAAATAAGGGCCGGGCGCGGTGGCTCAAGCCTGTAATCCCAGCACTTTGGGAGGCCGAGACGGGCGGATCACGAGGTCAGGAGATCGAGACCATCCTGGCTAATAACACGGTGAAACCCCGTCTCTACTAAAAAAATACAAAAAACTAGCCGGGCGAGGTGGCGGGCGCCTGTAGTCCCAGCTACTCGGGAGGCTGAGGCAGGAGAATGGCGTGAACCCGGGAGGCAGAGCTTGCAGTGAGCTGAGATCCGGCCACTGCACTCCAGCCTGGGCGACAGAGCAAGGCTCCGTCTCAAAAAAAATAAATAAATAAAATAAAAAATAAAAAATAAAAAAATAAAAATAAAAATAAAGAGATAATGTTGGCCAGGTATTTTGGCTCACACTTGTAATCCCAGCATTTTGGGAGGCCAAGGCCAATGGATGGCTTGAGCTCAGGGTTTCGAGGCCAGCCTGGACAACATAGCAAAACCTCACCTCTACAAAAAATAAAAAGATTAGCTGAGTGTGGGGGTGGACACCTGTGGTCCCAGCTACTTGGGAGGCTGAGGTGGGAGGACTGCTTGAGCCTGGGAGGTTGAGGCTTCACTGAGCCATGATTGCTCCACTAACATTCCAGCCTGGGTGACAAGCTCAAGACCTTGTCCCCTCCCCCACTCCAAAAAAAAGAGAGACAATGTCTCGGCCATGCACAGTGGCTCACACCTGTAATCCTAGCACTTCAGGCGGCTGAGGTGGGAGAATCCCTTGTAGCCAGGAGTTTGAGACCAGCCTGGGCAATACAGGTCCCAGGGATCCTCTTGACTCAGCCTCCCAAATAGCTAGGGCTGGAGGTGCACACCACAACATCTGCCTAATTTTTAAGTTTTTTGTAGAGATGGAGTCTCACTATGTTGCCCAGGCTGGTCTTGAACGCTTGGCTTTTTTTTTTTTTTTTTTTTTTTTTTAGATGGAGTCTTCCATTCTCACCCAGGCTAAAGTGCAGTGGTGCAATCTCAGCTCACTGCAACCTGCACCTCCCGGGTTCAAGTGATTCTCCTGCCCTAGCCTCCTGAGTAGCTGGGATTACAGGTGCCTGCCACTGCGCCCAGCTAATTTTTTTGTATTTTATAGCAGAGATGGGGTTTCACCATCTTGGCCAGACTGGTCTCGAACTGCTGACCTCATGATCCACCTACCTTGGCCTCTCAAAGTGCTCTGATTACAGGCATGAGCCACCGCACCAGCCCAAACTCCTGGCTTTAAACGATCCTCCTGCCTTGGCCTCCCAAGTGGTGGGATTACAGGCATGAGCCACCTTGCAAGGCCTGAAAATTCTTTGTAATGTAAGCTCTAAAGTAGTACATGAGTTTGGGTGTCTCATTTCACATCCATAATATAGCAAACAACATGAAATATGTACATCTCTTGAAGCTGTTGCTCACATCTTAATTGCTTTGGGTGGCTACCCACCAGTGGCCCAAGGTGGATGGAGGTTAGGGTTTTAAATTAGATCTCATAGTTGTAAACTAGAATTTTAAACCAGGATTCTGTCATCTCTTGTGTCCTGGTCCACTAGTTCTTATCCTTAGAACCCTCAAGTCCTGCTCTAGCTGTATTGTGACTCCTCTTTTGTCCACTTTGCACTCTGGTAGTTTGAGGAGCAGCAGGCTTTTGAGAAGAGCCGCAAGTTCCTTCGGCAGCTGGAGATTTGCTTTGCAGAGAACCCCTCACACCACCAGATGATTATCAAGGTCCTCCAGGGCTGTGCAGACTGCCTTCCGCAGGAGATCACCGAGGTATTCTTTCTTGTCCTGCTTTCTTCCTATTGTCTTCTGGGCCTTAGGCCTTTCCCTTGTCTCTTTCCCCAACCTACTCCATACCTTTTTGCCTCTGGAATGTCATGGGCTTCCTGGAGGAGATGAACAAGGCAAGGACTTTTTAGGCTTACCCAAAGCATAAAGCATTGGGGTAGGGAGGGATTGCTACCTGAAACCAGAGCCTGTCTAATCTTCACAGGCTCAGGAATGCCATGGATGTCCTGGAAGGGATGCTCAAGGAAGGAGGTTCTGGGACATGGGAGGGGCCTTACCTCCTTGCTCTGCTTGGGGTAGTGCCCTAGCTGGAGACCAGTAGGGCGGAGTGGAGAGTGGAATCATTAGGAGTCATATCTAATATTAGTACCCTTCCCCTGGCTGGACATGGTGGCTCACACCTGTAATGTAAACACTTTGGGAGGCTGAGGCAGGCAGATCACCTGAGGTTGGGAGTTGGAGACCAGCCTGAACAACATGGAGAAATCCCGTTTCTACTGAAAATACAAAATTAGCTGGGCGTGGCGGCGCATGCCTGTAATCCCAGCTATGCAGGAGGCTGAAGCAGGAAAATCGCTTGAACCTGGGAGGCGGAGGTTGTGGTGAGTAGAGATCGCACTGTTGCACTCCAGCCTGGGCAACATAAGCGAAACTCCATCTCAAAAAATCAATCAAAATAAAATATTTGGAGCAGTAGCTGGGCAAAGGGGCACTCAAGAGGCTCGCGCCAGAAGATCATTACTTGAGCCCAGCAGTCTGAGGATATAGTGTACCACTACGGTCATGCCTGTGTAAATAGCCACTGCACTCCAACCTGAGCAAGATAATCTCTGTTATCTGTGAGACCTTGTCTCTCTCTTTTTTTATTTTTGAGATGGAGTCTCACTTTTGTCCAGCCTGGAGTGCAGTGGCACAATCTCAGCTCACTGTAACCTCTGCCTCCTGGGTTCAAGTAATTCTTGAGCCTCAGCTTCCCAAGTAACTGAGACTACAGGCCCCCGCCATAACATTCCACTAATTTTTGTATTTTTAGTAGAGATGGGGTTTCACCATGGTGGCTAGGCTAGTCTGGAATCCCTGACCTCAAGTGATCCCCGCCCTCGGCCTCCAAAGTACTGGGATTACAGGTGTGAGCCACCACACCTGGCCTGTTTTTGTTGTTGTTGTTGTTTTGAGACAGGGTCTCACTATGTTGCCCAGGCTGATCTTGAACCCTTGGGCTCAAGTGATCCTCACACCTCAGACTCCCAAGTAGCTGGGTTTACAGGTATGTACCACTGCACCCAATTGAAACCCTGTCTCTTAAAAAAACAAAATTGTTGGCTGGGCGCGGTGGCTCATGCCTGTAATCCCAGCACTTTGGGAGGCCGATGCAGGCAGATCACGAGGTCAGGAGATCGAGACCATCCTGGCTAACATGGTGAAACCCCATCTCTACTAAAAAAAATACAAAAAAAAAATAGCCGGACGAGGTGGCGGGCATCTGTAGTCCCAGCTACTCGGCAGGCTGAGGCAGGAGAATGGCGTGAACCTGGGAGGCAGAGCTTGCAGTGAGCTGAGATGGCGCCACTGCACTCCAGTGTGGGCAACAGAGCAAGACTCTGTCTCAAAAAAAAACAAAAAAAATTGTTGGAGCAGACATGCATGTGGGTTGACTTGGTGAGCATCAGGCAGGGCTTCTTCCTTTGGTGTGCCCCGAAGACATAGGCGGTCAGGACACCTTTGACCCAGAAGACCATCTCTGCAGGTCTGTGACAGCAAATCCTACAAGAGCAAGGAGCCCCATGAGGCCACCCAGAGCGGGACTGTCAGGACCACCAGAAAGGGAGAGATGCCTTTTTCCGGTGAGTGATCTGCCAACCCAGCCCTTCTGTTCCTGTCTCATTCTCCTGTACTCCAGACAGGAACCTCCATGAGCCTGGATAAATAGCCTTTACAGGGATGGATATACCACCTCTTTCACTGATGTACCCATAGGAAGCCCTTCTCCTGTTCAGGCTTTTTCTGTCCTATGGCCTCACTCCTCTTGCAGAATTAAGAGTGCGTGGCTGGGGGCGGTGGCTCACGCCTGTAATCCCAACACTTTGGGAGGCCGAGATGGGTGGATTACCTGAGGTCAGAAGTTCAAGACCAGCCTGGCCAACATGGTGAAACTCTGTCTCTACTAAAAATACAAAAAAAAAAAAAAATTAGCTGGGCCTGGTGGTAGAAGCCTATAATCCCATCTACTCAGGAGGCTGAGGCAGGAGAATCCCTTGAACCCCGGAGGTGGTGGTTGCAGTCAGCTGAGATCACACCACTGTACTCCAGCCTGGGCAACAAGAGCAAAAATCCGTCTAAAAAAAAAAAGACTGCTACAAATTTCATGCGATTCAACATTGTCTTGTGTTTCTATTCCTAAAACCCTTCCCCCATCTCCAAATCTACTATAATCTACATCGTAAAGACTGGGCCATTCTCAGCTTTGGCAGTAGGACTTTGTATCTTTGCATAAGTGACATTATGCCCCCCCACCTCCACCCAACTCTTTTATTATTTATAATTTTTGTAGTGATGGGATCTCACCATATTGCCCAGGCTAGTCTCAAACTCCTGGCCTCAAGTGATCCCACCACTTTGGCTTCCCAAAGTGCAGGCATTATAGGTGTGAGCCACCATGCCCGGCCCTCTTTTGTATTAGAATTTTTGCACAGTACCTGGCCACAGTGACCTATGGTAATTTCTCGTGCTTAGGTGCATCTTGATCCTGACAGTACCCTGAGATCCTTATTTTCCTCCTAAGCAGGATTGCCAGTGGGGGGCACTTTGCCGTCCCCTCCAGAAGTGACTCTTACAGAACGGCTCCTCCTGGATGGCCCACCACCTCATTCACCAGAGACTCCTCAATTTCCCCCCAAAACTGGAGCTGTACTGTACACTGTTAAGAGAAACCAGGTTGGGCCTGAGGTTCTCTCCTGCCCCAAGGCATCCCCCAGACTTCAGAAAGAGAGGGAGGGCCAAAAGGCAGTGGGTGAGTCAGAGGCTTTGATGCTGGTCTGGGATGCATCAGAAACAGCAATTGCCTGGTACCGTGGAACCCCATGCTTCCTTCCTGAGTCCTGTTTCCTCAAAGACCAGAGATGCAGGGAGAAGACATGTGTCCGGGAAACCAGACACTCAAGAGAGATGGCTGCCCTCAAGCAGAGGTAGGGTGAAGACAAGAGACAGGACATCCCCTGTCCATGAATCTCCATCAGGAATTGACACGTCAGAGACTTCTCCCAAAGCCCCTAGAGGGGGTTTGTCTAAAGACAGTGGAACACAGGGCAAGGGTCCAGAGGGGGAGCAGCAGCCAAAGGCCACAGAAGCTACAGTGTGTGCCAACAACAGCAAGGTCAGCTCCACTGGGGAAAAGGTTGTCCTGTGGACAAGGTAGGTAAGGGTGGATGACGTGTGTTTGGAAAAGAGCATAGACCACATCCATGTGGCTCCCTAGGGTTAATCATGATACCTGGGTTACAGGGAAGCTGACCGTGTGATCCTCACCATGTGCCAGGAGCAAGGGCACAGCCACAGACCTTCAGCATCATCTCCCAGCAGCTGGGAAATAAGACACCTGCTGAGGTAAGTGGGAGTGGGGGTGGAGAAGACCCAGTAAAAAGAGGACAAGGTGGCCAACAGAGAGATAGAAAGGCCAAAGAAGGAGCTTTCACATCCAAGACAGTAAGTGGTTTTTGTAAAGGTCTGATCTAAGGAAAGGCTTGACTCATCAGGGTGGTAGTGGTTCTAGGACAGGAGAAAGGACACTGACTGCATTTTGTCCTTCCTGTGGAAGCCCCAGTTTCCATTCTAGCTTTTTCTTTTTTTTTTTTTTTTTTTTTTTTTTTTGAGCCGGAGTCCTGCTCTGTCGCCCAGGCTGGAGTGCTGGCATGATCTCAGCTCACTGCAACCTCTGCCTCCCGGGTCCAAGCAATTCTCCTGCCTCAGCCTCCCGAATAGCTGGGATTACAGGCGCCCGCCACCCGACCAATTTTTGTATTTTTAGTAGAGACACGGTTTCACCATGTTGGCCAGGCTGGTCTCAAACTCCTGACCTCAAGTGATCCGCCTGCCTCGGCCTCCCAAAGTGCTGGGATTACAGGTGTGAGCCACCGTGCCGGCCATTCTGTTTTTAGGAGGCGTGTGACTTTGGACAAAACATTTAGCCTCTTGAGTTTCCTTAGCTATAATGACATAGCTCTCCCAACCTTGCTGTGTTGAATACATAAAAGATTTTGCAAATCAATATATAGTGCTTCATAAATGTTAACATGTTACTAAGGATCAGCGAATACAGCCCTTCGCCTTTCTTAGGTCTCCCACCGTTTTCGAGAACTCATGCAGCTCTTCCACACTGCCTGTGAAGCCAGCTCTGAGGATGAGGATGATGCAACCAGTACCAGCAATGCAGACCAGCTGTCTGACCGTGGGGACCTTCTGTCTGAAGAGGAGCTGGATGAATGAGACTCTGGGAATACTTGGGTATCATCTACACAGGACCAAACCCAGCAGTTGCCCTGTCATTAGGCAGGAGGGTAGTTGTACTCCTGCTTGTACAGTCCTTGCGCCCAGTTTACAGACCGGGAGAGGAGCCCAGGACGAGGACAAAGGCTGGAGGATGGAGTAGGACCCAGGGGCTCTGCCATCCTAGGCACCATTCAAGGTCTTTTATGAAGACCTTACAGATCTCCTCTGTAAATAGCATCGAGTGAGAGTGGAGCTCAGCTCCTTTCTCTACTTTTTTTTGGTCTGATGGCACATATTTATTGTTCTGTGGTCTAATCACAGTGTTTCTAAATGTAAAAAGTGCATATGTTGGTGTAGCTAGTCCTGCAACATTGAGCTCCTCTGCACGAAGACACTGGGCTCCTGCATCCAGCTGTGTTTATTGCACACTAGCTCCTCTCTCCCACACTGGGAACGTTAGTCCACGAGGCTGTCACCAGCGTGGTAGCACTGGGCCAGGCTTTGTAGCTCCTGCAGGAGCTCTGCTACGTCATCGTGCTCCACTCCAGCATCCATGAAGCTGGCCCAGCGCCGCAAGTCGAGTTTGGTGAGGTCTCTGGCCAAGGCTTCCAGGGTCTGGTGCAGGGACGAAGAGGAACACAGTGCCCCAAACACTGGGATGCTCTCCACTGCTGAGGAGGGAGAGGAAAGAGAGACCTGTACATGGATGATTATTCTGCCCTGGGACTCTATCAAACCGATAAGGAAGTCCAACCTTAGTAGACTTGATTGTAAACTCAACAAATTTGGTGTACTGTCCCCTTAGTACACCAGTACTCCAGAGGAAGAATGCTTTTCTTGGGAGCCATAGGGTGAATAAAAGAATGTTTAACTGTGGACTTTTTCAGCACTTTTAATCCAGGAACGGAGATAGTAAAAACTCGCCCATACTTGAAATCTCGGTTTTCTTTACCTCCTACATACCTGCTCCCTTGGGGGAACCATCCAGAACCATACCCTGTGGACTGCAGCTTGAGAAGAGGTGGGGGTAAGGAGGAGCCACCCTGTAGGGAGTCAGCAGCAGATGGGAAGAACTGTGGGGGCAGAGAACAGACGCTAAGCGCGTAAGAAGTCACAGGAGGGTTGAGGTTGGCAAGAAGGGCAGGAGCAACCGTTACACTGACCTCATGACTCTAGGCTGCTGCTGTTGTAAATACTGAGCCAAGACTTCTTCCCCAGTGGTACATGCGTGAAGGGAGGAGGGTGGAGGTGTCCCTGGGGTGAGCTGGCTGCCAGAACAAAGCCAAAACCACCATTAGGCTGTGGCAGCATGAATAAGAAACTAAGAATTCTTATGTTTTCAGGCCATCAGCTGGATCCAAAAAAAAATTTCTTTTTGCTTCCTTTTTAAGGGGTGGGGAGGGAACAATATCATTAGAATGTCCCAGAGAAATTAGGGGGAAAAGGATATGAAACAAAAATCTGACAAGGGTTCCTAAGGACCAACAGCTCTCACCTCGTGTGGCATGCTCTGTCTATACCCCTCAGCACCACTGACTGGGCAAAGCAACGTGTTCCAGAAGGCTCCCCACATGCAGACAGTGGGGTCCATGGGGTGGCTCCTCCAAACTGCATCAGGGAATCAGGAAGGGACTGGCCTGGAGCCAAGGGGAAAGGAATGGTTGCTCCTGCTGTCACCACCTAAAGAGAAGGAAGAGAACACGTTAGAGGACATTTTCTCAGCACTGACCCAACCCCTCACAAAGCTTCATACCTTTTTCCCACAGAAGCTCAGCATGTCAGCCAGATGAACCATGGAAACTGGAGAGGAACACAGGCGATAAGGAACAGTGACTGTGTCCAGGGCTGTAGCCAGGATGGCACTGCAGTGGAAGGGCAGAGTGGCCTGTAAGAAGACACCAAGAGGGGCACTTGGCCTCAGGCCTGGAAAAGAATGTGTGGAGGCAGAATATTAACACCAGAAAGATCCAGGGGACAAAGCAGGGGTATGTCTGGCCTCTGGCTGGACAAGCATAGGGCATAGGACAGTGTGATCTGAGAGGCCACATCACAGCTGAGTTCAAGCTCGGGCCTCAGGAACAGAGCCAGTAACAGACAGCGGCTGACTGGGAGTATGAGGAGGCCCCGTAGCCTGCTGCAGTCAGAACGAGCACCGAGACTTACATCGTAATGCAGGTAAGGGAAGTTGACAGGTGGCTCAGGTCGCAGGCCCAGGCTCCCACCCAAGGACAAAGGACAGACGAGAGAGCTGTGAGCAGCCAGGTGTACGAGACCAAAAGCTGTGTTTAATAGACGATAGATGTTTCTCTGGGCCTCCTGGTGAAGAAAAAGAGTAGTCTGCATTAAGCAACTCTCCCCCTGGGATTCTCATTTCTCCCTCCCCACCGTGTGACTGCTTACTCCTCCAAGTTCCACTCACCCCACGATGGTAGGGACCAGGTAGCAGGCCCCACGTTATTATTCCCCGCCCTGAATATTCATCTTGTAGCAGCTCTGCCGCCTTCGCGCCTACCCCAGAGAAGCCATCGTGCAGGTCACACAGGATCTGGAAGCCCTGAGCGGAGGTGAGTGATGAAAAATAGTTAGGGAGTAGGATGAGAAGAGCTTCTACCCTGGAGTGCACGTTGCCACGCCGCTACCTGCAAGTAGTCACATTCCTCCACGTAGAAGTGCAGCCTGTCCTCCAGCTCTTCCTGGTACTTGGGTTCCTTTAGGACACTTTCCCCTTGGCCAAAAGCTTCCAGCCGACCTGCTTCCCTGCCACAAGTAAACACAATCCAAGACTTACATCTCTTCCCTCAGCTCCTCAACCTCTTGTCCTGGGGGAGGGCAGGGAAGATGGCCTCAAGAGCTTCATCCTGCATTGGTGGGGACCCACGTTTCTTGCCTCACAGCCTCTGGGGTCCCCATACCCATCATGGTTGTACTTCTGAATCATACAGATGCTCCGGGGATGGAGATGGACTCTGAGGAAGTCTGACCAGACCCTGATGCTGGCCTCTGTAGGGATAAGTGGTTTTGGAGTTGTAGCGGTGGTGAGTGGTGGGGAACCTGAAGACAAACAGAGGAAATGTACCTTTTTCCATGTTTCTGCTCTACCCAGACCCGCATCCATCAGTATCTGGAGAAGTCTCACCTTTGCCATTGGGAATGGATTTAACCCTCCAAACACCATCACTACTCAGCACTCCCTGGGAGGGGTGAAGAAAAATCTACATTTAGTTCCGGGCAGTTTAGAGATAAAGGCTGGTTCATCCTTCTTGAGTTGGCTGGCCACACCGCACAGCCTCCTTTCTGTTCACCGAGTCGTGGTCCTTAGGAAAAGAAGTGCTTTTTCCCAAAATATCATTCTAGGACATTTAAAGTGATTAAAATCCCCTTTTACCTGCCCCTATGGAGGCCCTCGGGTTGTAGCACTGGGTTAAAAAGTTCAGGGCAGAGGCCCTCACCTCTGCACTCAGAAAGTCCTGGAGATAAGGGTTCTTGGGACAGAGTTCCTCTTTGTGTGTGGTGAGCTTCCCCTGCCTGAAAGAGATTGGAGATTGATCAAAAAAACCTCACTCTGATGAGTTCTCCTGCGTTCTATGTACATACATGTTCCCCACCCTTATCCACACATCAATTACACACCATGCTATTGCAGCATCCAACTGTTTGTCCCTGTAGAGTCCACCTTCCTCTTTTAGGGAGCTCAAACTACCTGTACAGAAATAACAGAGACAAAGTTAGGTCAAAGCCTGGGGCACCCTCCCCGTCTAGCTAACCTTCCTCTGATCACCTGACAACCTGCTGTCACCATCTCTCCAGCACTTGGCTCTTCCAAGCTTTCTGGGATATACACTAGTTGGGGGAAAAACCTTGGCCTAGGAGCATCTAGATTCCATCTTTCCGTTTCCAGCTTAGTCATTAGCTGTGGGACCGGGGGCAAAAACCAGATCTAGCAGTCCCACAGGAGTGCTCTGGTTCAAGTCCTCACTGTCTGCAGGGCCTAGAAGCCCATTCCGGAGATGGCTCTTGAGCAACTATCGTGGGCCCTTCGAGTGCTGGCATGCTGTGCTCAGCTCATCTCCAGTCCTTGAGCTCAGTAAGATGGGAGGGTCTTGAAGATAACGGCAGCGCAAGGGCTCGGCTCGCGGAAGGGAAACACAGGGCACTGGCTGACCCTGCCACCACCTCACCCTTCAGATCCATGAGGATGAGTCGCGGCGTGTAGGTATCCTGGCCGTGCAGCGTCCGGCCCGTACGATACAGGACATCGGGGCACAGCTCTCCCGGCGACTCCTTGGCATCGGTTGCTCGGCCCAGCGCAGCATCCTGGGGAAGCAGAGAGGACGAGGCAGGCCGGCTGAACGTCGGGACTGTAGATCCCGAAGGGCTCCTCGGGGGCAGCTGCCGGCCAACCTCACCTGCTGGTTCCACCAGTGCGCGCCCACGAAACCGGCAAAGTGTCCCAACTGCAGGGTGAGCACTTCCCGGGCCCCGCCCGCCATACTGCGCGGCTCCAAGGGACCGCAGCGACCCAGCCCCGCCGGGCTCGCTGCTCCTAGCCGATTGGCTTAGCAGGCGCGTGGGCGGGTGTCATTCTCGGCGACCTATTGGTCCGCAAACACATCCTTTTCTATTGGAGAAACGATTCGCCGATTCCTGCCTCTTCCGAGACGTGGCGCAGTCCGGCTTCTCTGTGGTTGCCTGCGAGGGGCGGGGTCCACGGGCCACGGCCGTTGCTCCTGCTCCACGTTGGAGCGGGCTGGGCGCTGCCTCGGCCGCTGAAGGGGCCGCCCGGTCGCGGGCCGCGGAACGCTCTTCCTCGTACTTCCCCTGAGGTCTTATCCCTTCTCACAGATCTCCGCTGGCTGATAGCTCCCCGGGCAAAAATAAAACCTCGCCAGAAAAGCGGAAGCTCCCCTAAAGCCTCCCATGCCCTCTCATGTCTTCAGAAGTCACGCGGATCACGACTAATACCCTGTGGACTGGCCTAGCTATCATATCTCTATCATTTACATGTATTTATCTGTCTCTGGCATCTAATACCTTATGTAAATAGAGTCTGTATCTGTTGGTGTCTTTTGTTCAATATGGTTTATGTAATTTATATTTTTGCATATATCTAATTCATTTTCATCGCTGCGGAATAGTCCATTGTATGAATACATCACCATGAAACTATTCTAAAGAAAGAATATATTCTGCTGATAATAGCTGTTGGGATTGTTTCCAATTTTGGGCTATTAGGTGCTGTGATTAACATTCTTGTGTATATTTAGAAAGAAGGCAAGGGCCGGGCACAGTGGCTCACGCCTGTAATCCCAACAGTTTGGGAGGCCGAGGCGGGAGGATCAACAGAGGTCAGGAGGTTGAGACCAGCCTGGCCAACATGATGAAACCCCAGTGTCTACTAAAAACACAAAAAATTTAGCGGGGCGTGGTGGCGGGAGCTTGTACTCTCAGCTACTCAGGAGGCTGAGTCAGGGAATCCTTTGAACCTGGGAGGCGGAAGTTGCAGTGAGCCGAGATCGCGCCACTGCAATCTATCCTGGGCGACAAGAGCAAACCTCCGTCTGAAAAAAAAAAAAAAAAAAAAAAAAAAAGGGCTAGGCACAGTGGCTCACGCCTGTAATCCCAGCACTTTGGGAGGCCGAGGCGGTCGGAGCACGAGGTCAGGAGATGGAGATCATCCTGGCTAACACGGTGAAACCCCATTTCTACTAAAAATACAAACAATTAGCCGGGCTTGGTGGCGGGCGCCTGTAGTCCCAACTACTCCGGAGGCTGAGGCAGGAGAATGGCATGAGCCTGGGAGGCGGAGCTTGCAGTGAGCTGAGATCTCGCCACTGCACTCCCGCCTGGGCAACAGAGCCAGACTACATCTCAAAAAAAAAAAAAAAAAAAAAAAAGATAAGGCAAATATTGGTTGGGCGCCGAGGCTCAC